TAAAACTGAAAATAGGACAGGAAGAAAAAACGACTAAACAAAAAAAACGAAAGAAAGAATCAATCAAGCTTAGTAGCAACAGTAACAACAAGCAAGAAACAAACTGTTCGTCTCTGCAAATAGGTATAATTATAATAAATGAAAAAAAAGAGAACAAGAAAATGAAAACACAAAACTATACAATGAAAAAAAAAGCAGCACCAATCAATGTTTTATATACATCGAACGCTTTTTTTTGTTTTCAAAACATATACAGAACTTATCACACGATTAAAAAAATTCAAATAGAAGAAGAAAGTTTTGTTTGTTTGTTTTTCATCAGTTCTTCTTATTAAACAAGAAATAGAAACCACATATTCGATATAATCATATAAATGTGGAATGTTCGTTCATATATTAATTATATTGAATTTGAAATGATTGATTGATTGCATATAATTAGTCATGAAAGGACGGTTTTCAAATTAATAATATTAGACGGCACTTAATTTTACACCTAAATAGAAAAAGAATTGCTTTTATAGAGTGATAGGGTAATAGGGATCGATATTTGTGAAGGGAAAAAAAATAAAATCAATGCGCGTTAGTGAATTACAAATAACATGGTGTAGTGCTTGATAAGGACTATCAAATAACGATTTAAAGTTCATTTAATCAAACTTTTGAGAATTATACAAAAATTTATTTATTTTAAAGCTGACTTGCAATCTTTAGAGGAATGTTGATGGTGCTCGTCGGATTCAAAATTTCAGATTCGAATCAATTTAATGCAGCTCGAGTGTACAGTATTATGTAGTGAAGCGTTAAGAAATTTTAGGCAACAATATACAACATAAAACATAACAAAGAAGAAAAGCAAATTCTTCTTCTTTCTTCTTACATTTGATCTCCATGCGCCTAAGGAAATCTCTGATTATAATTAATATATATATATATATATAAAAATCAATGTCAATTCTTACCATTTTCATCTGAAAAACAATTTTGACAATGAAGTCGATTACTTCGTACACGAACATCTGTTCCTTCAAATGATGATGATAAAGGTATATTACAAACAAAACATCGAAAACATTCTATATGATAATATAAACCAAGAGACTCAATAACCATTGCTGAACCTTGACCTAAGCTCCCAATCAATCAAAGAAAAAATATAGAAATAAATAAAAGAAAAATTCTTTTTACCTAATTCATCATTACAACGTGAACAACGTAATTTACCACTAACAGATAAAACTCGATTATTATTACTATTAATCGTCGTACGAATTGGTGATTTTCTAAAAAGAAATTAATTGAATATTTTACAAAATAAATATTTTGTTTGCAACTAACGTTGAATGTTTTGTTCGATGATGTCGATTATTTGACTGATCAAAATCTCTTTGTTGTTGTTGTTGTTGTTGATTAGTTCGTGAACGATAATGATGAGATTCATTGGTATGAGCATCATAATAAAACGTATTTGATTCATTTGATACTTGTCTATTCATTTGTAAATCTTGATGATGTTGAGAAGTTTGGGGTGTAATTCGACGATTACTACTACTACTACCATTTCTTTCATTATTATATGAAGAAACTTGTGATAGTGGTGGTGCAGATAAAGTAGCTGTTAGTTTTCGTTGCTCATCAGTAATCCATGAATGATCATCATAATGACTTTTTCTTGGTGCTTGATTAAGTGTTGTATGAAGTTGTTTACTAGAAAAAAAAAATTGAATTTCAAAAATGAATTTATAATTCTGTTTGTTTTAGAAATATTAACCTTGTAATACGTTGTTGTGGAATTTTTTCATCTAATTGATGAGAAGTTTGTTGTTGTTGAAATGTTGATGGTGAAGATAAATTAACTCTTAATTCATTAACTGTACGATCAGATAATTGTGATGTTGATGATTGTTGTTGATTATGTGAATCTAAATAATGAATTGTATTTTCATATGGAGTAATTTTTACACCATATGTTCGATTATTATGATTATTAACATTTGAATCTTGTTGTTGAATTGAAGGTGAAAATGATGGTGATGATGATGATGATGTTTTTATTGTAGAATTTGTTAATGAAGCTTTCGTTAAATCAATTGGTATATTGATGGGTCGTTGTTCCTATAAAGAAAGATTTTTATAAAGAAAAATAAATCAATTTTTACAATAATTTATATATTTTACTCGTGATGTTTGTGTATGAGGATAACCAAGTAAAAGTTCTTGTTGTAATTGACTCATTTTTTTCTCAACTGATGTTCGTACTTGTGCAATAGGAGAATCATTATTATTAGAATTTGATGAACCATGTAATAAAGTATCAACTGATGTTAATGGTGGTGGTGGTGGTTTTGGATTATTTATTATAGATGATGGTGAATCGATAATATTTGATGAAATTAATGTTGGATTAGATAGAACTAAAAAAGAAATTTCGCAGATAAAAAATATAATGAGGAAAAAAAAAGATAATGTACGTGTATTAACTACGCCTCGAGATGCTGATTTTGTTACAGTTGATGATTGTTGTTCAACAGTACCTGTTGTCTGTAAAAAAAAGAAAACAATGAAATTGATATGTAATATAATATGAAATAAACAAGAAAAAGAAAGATATAGAGGATGCAATAGTAGTAGTAGTAGTAGTAGTACATATCAGAAATAGTCATTCATGCATGAAAGAATTCATTAGTATATCGTGCAAATCACCATTGAAAGAACCTCACTATGGATCAAAAAAGCAATTTAAATGAAAGTATTTGATCATGATAATACATGTTAAATTTAGTTCTAAATTAAATCCGGAGAATATCGAATTCTTTATTATATACTCGAGAAAGATAATATCGACATTCAGAGAAATCTACAGATATTCCCTATAGAAAACAAGCAAGATGATAAAATCTAATGACTTTTAAAACTACACTAAATAATAACGAATCTTTTCATTTGTTTTTTAAAGAAGAAGAATAGAAATTCTAATGTAGTAAACATGCACTAACGTATTGAAATATAAATTAAACAAAAAATTTTGTTCATATTGACTACTCATCTGTGATAATTTTCATTGTATGACAAAATGATTAAATTAACAAATACAATCATATTCGAATATTTCATGAGACAAAAAAAACGAACACGCCGCAAAAATTAATTAGTCATGGAAAAAAACAAACAAAGAGCATTGTAAGGCAACAAAAAAGAAAAAGAATCTGTCGTTCATCAAACACCAAGAGCGATGATGATTAGTATACATGTTTTTTTTTTGTTATGTGCATTAAATATATATGTATATAATAAAAACTTGTTTGAGTTGTTGAAATAGAAGACGTGCAGTTAAATAGATATAAAAAAAAGTTTTTGTTGTTTAATATTTTATTATTAATCACACATGTTCGACTACCTCATTCTTCATAGATTTGTTGATGCTGTTCGATGGATCAAGCATCTTTCGAAAGGCTTCAATTGGCGATGAATGAGTGAAATTCTGAACAACACAAAACAATAGCCATGCATGCGTTGTTATTAATATATTTTTTTTTAATCAATGGAACAAAAGAAAATTATAGATCTATTATACAATCTCTTTTTTTTTGTTTAGCAACAATATTTAATTGTCATGCATCTAATGTATGTGATTTAAAAAAAAATGAGCAACTCTTTTCTTTCAAAAATGTATATTTTTGTGTTATGATAGAAAGAAATCATTAGGATAAAAATAATCTTACTGTTTCATTATTTCTTGGTGAATCAAGATTAATTGAAGCTGTTGAACGAAATGGTTTTGGTGCGAATATATTTAATGGTGATGATGATATTTGTTGAATAGGAATATTCGAAATTGTATCAGATGTTGAAATAGATGAAGTAGGAGGAGGAGGTGGTGGTGGTGGTGGTGGAGGAGCAGTACTAGGTAAAAATGTATAAACAGGTGATTGAACATTTGATGGAGTCGTTGATGAAACGATTATTGTACTTGTTGTTGTAGATATTGGAGGTACGGATATATTTGATTGTAAATTAGATACAGGTTTTTGTGGTGATGGTGTCCGACTATGTTCAATTGTAACTGTTTGAGAATTATCATCGATAATATCTAATAATAAAAAAAAAATCTATTAACATAATCCTTACAGAATTATCAATGTGAAACATGATGTAGTCTAGCACATTTCTGGTTTTACCTTCATAGGTTTTAACAACCATTTTAATACTTCCACGTAAATTTCGATCTTTAAGAATTTTTCGTACTTGATCAAATGTCATATTTTGAATATTTTCATCATTCATGGATATAACTTCATCATCAATACATAATCCAGCTTTATCAGCAGGACTACCTAAAACAAAACAAAAAAACGAAGTTTAATAAAAGAATTTTTGTTTGTGTCTATAATTATATATTTTTCAAACCATCTTCAAGTGTTGAAATATAAATAGGTCGATTTTGTGCTGGACCACCATCAAGTTTAAAACCAAAACCACGTATTTCAACTGGTTTTTGAATAAATATTTCATGAATTTTACCTGGACCCTAAAAAATATTTTCTATGAAAATAAACAAATCTTTATTATAATTTTCTTTTTTTTTTACTCTATTTCGTGGAGGTGTTGGACTTTTTGATTCAATTCGATTCGATAGGAATAATTGTCCAGTAGATATATTTGTTGTTACAGATAATGGTGAGACATTAGTCGGTGGAGGCGGAGGTAAAGGAGTAGAAAGTAATTTAGGTTTTGTTTCAGGTACATCAAAACTATAATAAGTTATTGAAATAAAAAAAATATTTCAATGATGAAATTAATGCAAACTTTTTAACAGGACTAGGAAGTGAAGGTTCAATATTTGATGTTGTTGTTGGTTCATTTTCAGTACGAATTGTACTTGAACTTTGTTTACGTTTTTGTTCACGTTTTTGACGCCAATTTTCAACAGCCTAAGAATAGAAATCGAAAATTCCATTGATGAAAAGTAAAAGAGAAACAATGAAAAAGAATTTTAAAAACAACGGAATAACAAATCAATTATGATTTCTTTTTTCTTTTCGCGTAAAAATTCAATTACTCGTTTATGCTCAAAAACATTAATGTCTTCTTTTTCCTTTTTTTGTATTAAAATCAATTCTAATTTCTCTATGAAAAATTATAATAAGCAAAAAAAAAAGAAGAAGAAGAATCGTTACCATGTTGAACTAAGATAAGATGTAACAATGAAAATCAAACACATTTATGTAATAAGAGATGTGACTACTGTTTCTTATTTAAAAATACTATTTCAAGAAAAAGAAAACGAACTTTAAATAGAATACCAACATACTTCAGAATAGTCTTCGTAGATATCATTTTGTTTTACACGTGTTGCTGAAAAAGCAGCAATACTACTAGTTGTAGGAGTTGTAGAAGGTTTTCGTGTTGGTGTTACGGTTGTAGTCAAACCTTTCATGATAATTAATATGAATTGAATTGTATATTTAATTGATTTCGATTAGACATAGAAAAAAAGAATGAGAACGATCCATAGTCATCATCATATAATTGAATGTATGCCGTAAGGCAACCATTCGTTTGTATGTATGTATATCTTCGTTTTTTTTTTCTTCGTCGTTCGTCGTCTATACTTGCACCACTACAATTTTCGGGCTTTTTTTTGTTTTGTATTTGAGCAAGGTGCGCCGTGTACACTGTCGAAGAAGAAAGAATGTAACCTCTCTTTTTTCTTTTTTCGTCTTCTTCTTCTTCTTCCTTTACTGTTTAGACAGCAAGAGAGAGTAATCGAGTTATGCGAACACACGTCTTTGATTCAATCTCGAATAAGAAACCAACAAGCGACTTGCTTCTTTCTCCCTTTCCCTCTCTCTCTCTCACTTCTCTTCTTCTCTTTAAACAACAACATTAATCGCAAGGAGAACGGCATCGTCGCGGAAAGAGCAACGTCTTTTGATAACAATAAAAAAGATACAACAAAAAAAAAAACTACAAACTTTTTTTCTTTTTTTGTTGTAATGTTATTGTGACCGTTATTATTTTTCTTATCGGATAAAAAACTTTGTTTTCGAAAATGGATTAAAATAAATGCAACGAAGCATATCATGTTGGCTTCCATGCATACAAGCTTTACTAATCTCTATTACAAATACAACAACTTATTTTACTGGTTGATTGCCACAAGCGAAAAAAGAAAAAGACAAAAGAAAAAAAAAAAAAAGAAGAGAATGATGATGATGATGATGACCATGATGACGCAAGATACAAATATCATGGATTAGGTAACACCTATTACTTGTTCCCGTTTGATATGCATATATCAGAGCAGGCAAATTTAATTAAGTAAAAATATTTGTTCGATTTTCTTAGACATTTTTCTATTCGAATATATATGTATGTGTATGTGTCACATAAAGAGAAAGGAAAAAAAAATAATGAAGCTATGTAGGTGTAACAGAAAAGATAAGATGTGATGATAAATGTCTCTTGGTGTTGAGTTCTCACGAACATGAGATCATAAAAAAAATTTCTAACATTTTTTTATATATATGTATCATTATAAAAGATAAATAACATTTTGTTAGATTTTCTTTTTTCTTCAAAAAAAAAAAAAGAAGGTCAAAAATTTTTGATTGAAAGAAATTAACTGTGACAAATTAAAGAAAACTGTCATGACTTCAAAAATCCTTCGACGTGCATAAATGAGAAAAAAAATATATATGATTTGAAATATTTAAGATATATGCATGAAATTTTTATGGAATATAATGAAGTTATGTTTATAAGATAAAAATATAAGCGCTTGTCTTTTTTTTTTTTTCTTTTTATAGAGCATATACTAAATGACATTTTTTTAATATGAACTAAGGTGATAAAAATAATTACCTTTGACCAATCAGTATTATCATCATCATTTAAATTATTTATTTTTATATTATTAATAATATCATTATTATTATTATTATTTAATTTAAAATTTTCTTGTAAACGTTTTCGTGATTCTAATAATGTTAATTGTTCTTGTGCACGTTCAATTAATTCATGATTTGGATGTATTTTAACAAATTGTAATGGATCATTATTTAATTTATTTACATTTAATGTACCATTAAAATGTCTTGTTGGTATTGTTGTTGTTGTAATTGTTGTTGATGCTAATTCATCAAATGATTGTGAACGTCCTTGATGATGAAGTGATGATGATGAACCACTATTACCATAAAATTTCGAACTACCTAATGATGTATAATCAGAATCAACTGAACCTTGATCACTATTATCAAATAAAAGTATATGATTATGATTTGTTATTGTTGTATTGCTTGTTGAAGATGGTGATAAAAGTATTGGTGAAAAACCATTGAATTGATTATGTTGAAATGTTGACATGGTTTTTTTTTTTTTTTTTTTTTTTTTTTTTTGATGATTATATATAACGTCATCATATAGTGATCATCCATCTGAACATATCAACAAAAAAAAAAAAAAGAAAGACATATAAGAAAGAAGAAAATAAAACACATCGAATAGGTATATCATTTATGTTCAAGGATATAAAAGCTTAATTTGAAAAGATGAGAAAGATTGAGGGCGGATCTTTAATCTGCTATACATATATATAATAATTTCAACATACTAACACTAGCTCAATCATCATCATCATAATCATCATCGACCATACTGAATAAGACAAGAAAAAGAACGACAACGAAACTTTATGCAAATTTATTTATATGTAGGTTATACATACAGAGAGAAAGGAGACCTATTCTTTTTTTTTCTTCTTCTTCTTCTCTAGCCAAACGAGCAATGAGATGTATAACAAAAATGTTCACTACGCTCTATATATATATATATACATCTATTTATGATAAAAATCAACGTCATCATTAACGTTCTTCTTCGGTTAGGGTTTTTTTGTGTATAGTATGTGATTGTGCGTATGATCGAATATACATATATGTATGCTTCATAGACAACGATGTATTCGATTTATTAGTAATATGAAGAGAGAAAAAAAAAATTCAAGGGACACTTATTCTACCATCGAAATGTAAATCACCAATGATGCCCGATTGATTTCTTTGCCTATGTGGGTGTATATGCTTACGTACGAAAAGAACTCAAAAGAATGACAATTTGTTATTACAGCATACGGACATTTCTAATTCAAATAGAAGAAAATGAAAAAAAAAAGACCATAAACTAGAAAGAAATTTTCATTTGTATTTGTGCATTTATATATCGAAGAAACTTGAGATGATCGGAAAGAAAAACACATATACATATGTACACACACACACATACACACATGCATACATACATAAGCAGGCGTCTGATGCTCTTTCAATGCCGTACCAAGTACTTGCTTTTCTTTCTTTTTCAAGGGCAATGATGATATATAACGACTGGCTACGGTCAATGGTACATCATAAATCATCATCATTCTGTATTCCTTTCGACCTCTGTCCACTATATTCTATTCTCTTATTTTGACATTCAACAAAAATGAGTGAGAAATAGAGAAAAGAAAAAAAAAGAAAATCAAATAAACGACCAGCACAGACAGACAAATAATTTTTTTTCTCTTTCTTTTATTATGTCTAGTTGTCCGTCTGATCTATATAAAAGATTTGTAAGCACGTTTTAACATCTTGTCTGTCGCACTTTTCATTATTCATTTTACTTTATTTCATTCATTATGTGACAATGGTATGAAAGTTTCATTGTCATATACATGTATACCACATTCTGTTGATTGTTGATGATGCATGACACTGCTGCACACACGTATATATACATATATATAGATATAATATATATATGTATAGGTTCGTCCCCATTATGCATCTAGAAAATGAAACAAGACAAGGACTTTTTCGAACGTTCAGCACCTTTCAGGGATTTTGATGAGTGAATAAGATATGAAGGATTGGCAAGGATGGTATGTTTCAATCAAAACGAAAAGAATATATATATATATTTGTTTATAGCTTGACTTTTTTTTTCCTAACATACCATTGAGAGTTTATCATCAGATTAAACAGATATAATCTTACACAAAAAAAAAAAAAAAAAAAATTCTTCTACTACCTCTACTACTACTCATTGTCCATATGTGTCAAATTAAAAGCGCTTGAAAGAGGGATATGCATGTTCCTTTCTCATTTTTCTTCTGTTCTCTCTTATCTCAACATCTACAAGAATACAAGAGAGACAGAAGGAAATATTTCTCTTCTCTCTCGTTAGACCATATTTGTGTGTCACATCAAGCTGATGTCCAATATACACGTGTACATATATACTCTCGCATTCAAAGGTCATCCGAAACTTGTATATGCCTATGTTAGATAGAGAGTTAGACGAAAGGGGTAAGCAAACATACAAACAGATTCTACCAAGAGAAAAAAAAAAAAGAACGGAACGAGACAGAAATGATTGTATGATGAACGGCTGAGTGCATAATTGCCTTCAAGTAATCGACATCGATTTAGACAGCTAACAATAACAACAAATGAAAATGTAGTAATCAAAGTCATATTTAATGAACATATATATATATATGTCAAACGATTAATACCTCATCAGTTAAGAACACTTATATAGATAAAAATAAATGTAAAAAGGTGATAAAAAAAGAAAATCATTTTATCTAGAATATTGAATATTAAAGAAAAACCATGTTCAGTACATAGAATTAAATTCAATGATTTACTTTTTTAAAAATGAAAATTTATATTTAATGAAATAAGAATCTAAATTATGACAAATATAATTACTAATAGTTTATTGAATAGAATAGAACTATTGCGTGACAAATGCTTTTCTTATATATATAAATATGGATTGAACCATGGTTTGTCTTGATAATTTTGTTTTAGCTATGGTTATTCAATATTAGACAATTAAAAATCTAAGACTATTAGTACAAAAAAAAAAAGCTATTGTAGGTCCAAGGTCTGTATCGATATTGGATAGCTGTTTGAATAGTAGAAATTAATTTTCTTTTTCTTTTTTTTGCAATAGAAAAAAAAAATGATATCGGATATATTAAATATGTTAATCAACACCATTATGAATATTATACTTTGTGATTGTTAGTTTGAGTGATCGATTACAATTATGATTAATCGAAACAAATCAATTCAGTATTGTTATTGAATTGTACATTTATTTGTTTTTAGACATTTTCGTTATCTACCTGTAAAAATAATTATCTTGTGTCTTTTGTAGTTATAAATAGAAATAATTATACGATGAAAAAGTGTATGTATATGTGTGTGTGTTTTTTGTGCTTTTTAATTGCAATTGAATCTATAGACTAGTTTTTATTATTATTCTGTTTTTTTTTTCTTTCTTTTATCAATTATTTGTAAATGTTTGATCATATTAATAGTAAACTTATTAAAATGAAAACCTTGTCAAATAAATAAAACATAAACATAGAATTTATAATAATATGTACAAATATATATTTCAAACTGTCTAAAATTTCTACTTGTTATATCAGTTTTAAAAGAGAGCACAAACGTGAAAAAGAAAGAGAAAAGACGAACATATGAAAGTGATGGTGATAATGACACTATTTGACTTTCAATGTTGAAAAGAAGAAAAAAAGAAAAAAGAAAAAGAAATTATTTCAAACACAAACGATACATGAAAAAAGAAAAACGAAACATGCATAAAGAATCACAGATGAGCAAAAAGAACAAAACAAAAAAATTCACCTAAATGATAAATTATATTTCTTTTGATTGTTATGAATTATTTCTCATCCCGGATCATTTATATTTCGTTTACCAAAACCAAAACGTCGAGCAAATCGACGAAATTTTGCTAGAATTTCATCTTGCATTAATTTAAATGACATTGCCATAACAATCATACCAAACAAAAGAAATAATGCACACATTGCTGCTTTACCTGCTTTAGATTCTGTTACTGTACCTTTACCTGGTACAAGATCACCAAAACCAATTGTTGTAAATGTTATAAAACAAAAATAAGCTCCATCAAGTACATGCCAATTTTCCCATTGAGCAAATAGTAATGCACCCATTGCTATATAAAGTGCAAGTACAGCTAATGTTGCAACAATAGGTACATGTCGACTTTCTTCAACATCGGACTGAATAACAAAAAAAAATAAAGAAATATAACTAATTCGATTGTTAAAATAAATATTCTTACATCAGGTTGTTCAAAACTTCGTCTTGTATCATCAGGTAAACAATTTTTTAAACGACCACGACATATTTGTCGATATAAAAAATTAACCATTTTTGAATAACCTGATATAAATGCATCAGCTAATAAATCACCTGTATATGTTAAACACATAAACATTAAAGGAATACCAATCATAGCATATATCTATATATAAAAGTAATATTCAAACCCCTTTTCAGAAGATGATAAAAGGAAAAAAATAATAAGAGAATGCCTATTCATTTCAGTTTAGTTTTCCTTCTGTTCATATATTATTAGTAGAACAATGCAATCATTTGGTTTTAATGAATGACATGAGTAGAATTTTCTCGAATAGAAAAACTTCAAGAGTCTAGAAGTCCTACAGATAAACACTCTGTATAACAAGGTTTTTTTTTAAATTCTTGTTATTTCAATTAACAATTGTTTTTAGCTTTGATAATTATAAAGAACTAGAGCTTCAACAGGATTGGCCATATATCGTTCTCAATGAAAAATTAGTGGTTCCGATCAAAAACAAAAAAAAATGGATGTCAAATTCCATTGAGACTGGAATCATCTTACATATATTTATCAAGAACTCATTCGAAGACATTAAAAAATTCTATATATCTTTCATTATCAATTCTTATCAGAAAAATAGACAATTCTATTTTACCATTGTTGCAATTTTTCCTTCTGTTGTTTTCGGTGTTATATTTCCATAACCAATAGTTGTAATAACAGTTGCTGAATAAAGCATAGCACTAGCAAATGTCCAAACTTGTACAGTATTTTGTTCTTGTTGTTGTTCAACACCATATTGATTTTTTTCTTCGGCACCAAAATATTGTAATAATTCATAATCAATATGATGTTTCCATAAATCTTTTTCAACATCAATTTGCCATCCTTCATTACGTTCATCATGACGTGATAAACCACCACGCCATAATGCATATTTTAATTCAAATGTTTGATTTAAAACACGATTAAATTCTCTATATGCATGATTATATAATTGATCAACAAAATGTTGTCGATTACGTTCTTTTTCTTCTAATCGTTCTAATTCATAACGTGATTCAATTGCATCAAATATTAATCCACCAAGAATAACATAACCAACAACAAGACCACCTAAAAACAACGGATATAAATTAAATTCAAATTTTATGTTATTTAGAAAATTTATTTTTTTA